CTAACTATTTGTTGTTAGTTAGGTTTTTTTATTATATATATATATATATATAAAAATGGAGATATCCTATCTCCTAGAGCTGGAAGGGACCTTGAAAGGTCATTGAGTCCAGCCCTCTGCCTTCACTAGTAGGACCAAGTACTGATTTTGCCCCAGATCCCTAAGTGGCCCCCTCAAGGATTGAGCTTACAACACTGGGTTTAGCAGGACAATGCTCAAAGCACTGAGCTATCCCTCCCCCCGGTTATTGTGACATCTTAGCAACTTTACATAGTTTTTACAGTCAAGCTCACAATTAATGTAAATTTCTAGGTCCAATTATCGCAAGAGTCCATTGCTTCAGTTCCTTTGCTGGGGCTGGCAATGATTGTCAGGGAGGTGCAGAAAATACAACCCCATGCGAGATTCATGGAGACAGTGGGGCCATTTCATGCCTTTGGCCTTCTAGAGCAAACTGCAGTAGTATAGACTGTGCTTCAGTAAGTAGCCTTGAAAACAGAGTAGCTCCCACAGCCCAGGCGGGTCTAAGGGCGCCTTGCAAACACCTCACATCTGCCCAGGGTTTGCAGGGGAAAGACCAGCAAACTCACCAGACCATGACTCTTAAGGAAATGCTGCCCAGCCTGTGGTGCAGGGAGAGAAGTGCAGAGTCCTTCATGTTCAGGCTCAGCTGGGATATAGTTGTGGTGAGGTAGGGAGGAAGTGCCAGATGGAGAGGGCATGTGGGGAGGGAGCGCAGGCTGGAGAAGGGCATGGGGGGGCAATGAAGTGGGGAGACAGCGACAGATGGGGAGGGGGAAGGAGTAGGTGGTTCTGAGGGGAGGAAGGCAGTAGGTGGTTCTGAGGGGGGGAAGGCGTAGGTGGTTCTGAGGGGGGGAAGGCGTAGGTGGTTCTGAGGGGGGAAGGCGTGCCAGCCAGGAAGGGGCAACATTTTAGTTCTTGTTCTTGCTTTTGGCATTCTCTCTGACTCTGCTTTTCCACTTTGCTTCTGTTGTTGCTGCTTCACTAGGTGCCTTTTGTCAATGAGGGAACTCAGCTCTGGCCTGCCCTGCCCTGCCTTGCCCTTAGGTGAGAGCGCTGACCTGGTGCAGTAACTGGGATAGACACCCTGTGTTGCAAACCAGAGAGGAGGCAATTCAGTGAAATGCCCAGTCTCTTCTTCTTGTGGTTGTTCCAATGCAAGGCAGCCAGGAGCCTTTTGTTTGGACATTCCCTAACGTCATAGCAAGGTGTACCAACTGTCTCTTGTAAATAAATAATCATAGGAACAATGAACGCAATATGACAGCCTCCCACCTCTCCACCACACACAGCACCTCCATCCCACTGCACCTCTCTTTCCCTCCCAATCCCCAGCTCTGTTGGTTATTTACTCTGTGTGGACTGTGCAACAGCATGAAACACTTATGTAATAAATCAAAACCAGGAGTCACAGTTACCTAATATTTGCTTTGATGTTAAGGCAAGCAAGGAGAGATCTTTCCCCACACAGGGCAGTGACACCGGAGTTGTTCCCAATAGCACTTCCTGCTGCTGGGCAGCTTTGAGAGTCCACAAAGCACAACAGCTCTAACAATGAGCACAACTCATCGATTCATGCCCTCTCAGCCAGTCAGGGCTTTTGATTGCCCTCCACCCCAAGATCCTCTCTCTAACTACAGGTATCATCTTGGGCACCATCAGAGTGCCAGTGAGTTGAGCACACTGATTGGCTGGTGACCCTACAGCTCCTCCAGCCCTGGGAGCAAGAGCTGGGTTGGAAAGGGATTGGACTCAAACCCCCTGTGGCACCAGCAAGTGCTTTCAGCTCCTGGGAGGAACAGGGGGAGGGCAGGGAGTCTCTTAGTGCTACTCCCAGACCCATACACATGTGGTGTAAAGTTCAATGGCCACCGAAACAAGAGACCTGCGTTCCCCTGAGCAGCTTATCCGAGGCCTGCTTGCTGCTGCTGCATAAGCTGGGCAGAAACTCTAAGCAATGGGCTCTCGTTTTAATGCACAGAAGTTAAGTGTGGTCTCCCTGTCAATCTGAAGAGGTAGACATTTTTTGGAAGGCTTTTTGTGGCCTCCTCTAGAGCTTAGCCTTGGGGTAATATAAACAACAACAATCTTCTCATGGCTGAAATCAATATGAGAAAGCGGGTACGTGGTAAATTGTGAAAAGTGTCTGGAGAGACCAGAACATCTCTAGAGACACCACATCGAGGCCAGGCATGTCAATAACACAGGGTTAAAGCCCTTCCAGGTGTATCCGAGTTAGAAACAGAGAGACAGGAAAAGCCAAGTGAGACTTAAAAGAAACGTACAATGTAGGCAGCCTTAGCTTTCCATCTGCACTTCTCTAATCCTTCCATACCTACTTCATAAAATTTTGGGATGAAGAAGTTTTCCAAATGAATTTGTACTGCAATGATAGTAATCATCCCTCCTCCTCTGTTTCATAACTGTTTAAGAAACCCACAGCCCACATCTGCAGTTTGGATAAGCCACTATACTTGTACTGCTTGTGAGCTGAGTCTTCCTCGCATTGATTTCACAGGTACATATCTCCACTACCAAGTGTGATGTTGTCACCCTCCTGGTTTTTGCTCTTTTCAGGGAAATGCTAGGATTTCATGATCTGGGCCTAGAAGGTTTGTGGTTGTATATAAGACATGTTGGCTATGTTCTGATGATACCCTGATTAGCTGTGGCACATGAAATCTTACGAGAAGTGAGAATGGATTGCCTGCACTCTGCTGTTTGTCTGTTCATTGTGCTATTTGTACAGGACATCTTTCTGGGGACTGTGGTACAGTGTTACACATTATGGCTGTTGCAGAAGGCTGGGGTCAGCACAACTGTTGAGAGAAGTCTGGGTCTCAGAGATGTGATAAAGGAAGCAGTATTGACAAGCCTAATCATTCAGACATCATGAGTCCAGCCTCCAAAATTGAGAATTGCCTTAAAAATCTTGAGATTTTAAAATAATAAATGTGGGGTTCTTTTCATTTCTCTCCTCATGTTGGAGCCTCTGGTTCACAGTTTCCAACTTTTCTTTGTAGCCCTGAAGGCAAGCAATTTTTTTCTTTTTTTAGATGAAGGCTGAGATTTTCTTGTAACCACAGAAACCCAGGACCTGGGACTTGAAGAAAAATACCTAATATCGTGAGACTCGTGATAAAATTATAAATGTTGGCAGCCCTAAGAAAGCACCAGCAATATTTTGGACATGGCCTGGATAGGTGGGCATGAGAGAGGGAGACAGCAAAGCTGACACCCAGATAGGGTGGGACCCGCTGAGCAGCAGCGAGGATAGGGTCGTAAGCAGACACAGAGAATGGGGCAGCTGAGAAGCTGACAGGGAAGACAAAGAGTTGGTGTGGGACATGTAAAGTATGATATACTGAAGGGTGTTTGGTAGGGTTACCATACGTCCGGATTTTCCCGGACATGTCCGGGAAAATTCGGGACATGCCGGGGCCGG